TCTCTCTCTCTCTCTCTCTCTCTCTCTCTCCTTCTCTCTCTTTCTCCTCCTCTCTCTCTCCCTCCCTCCCCCTCTGTTCCTCTGGCCCTTTCCCCTAAGTCTCCCTTTGGAGTTCTCCTCCTGCCCCTTTTTCTCGTTCCCCTCCATCTCAGCTGTCCCACTGTCCCTCTTTTCCTCTCCGTCCCATCCTTTCCTTTCTAACCACCTCTTCCTCTCTTTTTTCTCCCCTCTCTCTTCCCTTCCCTTTCTCCTCTCCTCTCTCCTTTCTCTCTGTCTCTTTCCCCTTTCCTCTTCTCTTTCTCTCTCTCTTTCTCGCTCTCCTCATTCTTCTCTGTGTCCCTCTCGTCTCTTCCTCACCTACTTTGCGCTCTCGTTTCCTCTGTGTGTCCCCTTCACCTCTGTGAGTCCTCTCCTCTCTGAGCCTGGGTCCCTTGTGCACTTCTGCTCATCTCTGTTCTCCATGGTTCCTCTCTCCCCCCCTCCCTCTGCCGGCAGGCTCTCTTTCGGCCCCTTCCGTCTCCCCTTTGCCTCTGTCTCCCAGTCTGCGTCTCTCAGCGTCTCATCTCCTCGGGCGAAGGTTTATAGGCCATGGGGCCTCGTGCCCTGGCAGGGCCAAAGCTTCTCTCTCCCTTTCTCTCTGTCCTCATCTCCTGCTGAATAAAGGTGTTTCTGTCCTGACCTCTGTTCCTCTCTCTCTGCCTCTGCCGACTCCGCTCTTCCTGTCTCTCTCCCTTTTCACTCATCCCCACGCCCCTCCTCCAGCTGTGCCCAGAGCTCACACCCACTGCAGCCTCCTAGGAACAGGCACCGCAAGCAGAGGGTGGGAGCCGGGACGGGCTCGTTGACCCCTTCCTGACGCCCCCATTTGACAGAGAAACCAAGGCCCAGAGGGGACTTGCTCAGTGCAGGCTAGGGCCAGGGACTCAGTGCCCTCGGAGGGCCCTACCAACTCGGGCTGAGATTCCAAAGGGTTTCAGGGCCTCCCCTCCCCCCAGCTCGAGGACAACAGCTTCGTTGTGGGCCCCTCCGCCGGCAGGACAAAGGCATGCTTGTGTGCAGGGACTGGTCGGAGCATCACATCTCTGTCTCTCCAGTGTCCGTGGGAACCCCAGGAGCCCCACCCCCACACACATCTGGGATGGAGGCGGGCCATCCCCCTGAACCTTAGGTCTAGGGCCCCTGTGACCCAATCCCAGTCGGGGGTCACTCTCCCCCTCCCTCCTTCCCTCCCTAGGCCTATCTTGGTTCTGCCTTCTTGGGTCTCTCTCCCTCTTCCCTCCTTCACCCGTTTACCCCCTCCCTGTCCTTCACCCTTTCCTCTCTCCTCCACCCTTCTCTTCTTCCTCTTTCCATCTCCTGTTCAGTGCCTCGCTCCACTTCATAGAATGAGAGTTAGAGTCACAAAGAACCCGGGAGTCCCACTTCCTCATTTTGCAGATAAAGCTGAGGCTCAGACGCTGCCTTGCCCAGGGCCACCAGCTGGTGAGTGAGGCAGCCTTTGAACTGTGGCTTCCTGGCCAGCACCCTGACCATTATCCCACACCGCCCTCATGCCACTTTCAGGCGATTTTCGTGATTCCTCACTCCTCCTTCGGCTGAATTTCTTTTCTGTCCTCCTGTACTTCGTTTTCTTGCCCGCTTACCAGCCAGCCTCAAAAGTGGTAGAAAAAACCCTGGGCTTGGAGAGACCCGTGTGTGTTGGAATGCTGTCTCTGACTCGCTGCCCGTGTGACCTTGGCTGAGTCACTCCCCGCTCTGGGGTGCTCAGCATCCTCTCTTGTCCAATGAGTGTGGTCCTTCACCCCTGGAGGGGCAGGGTGGGGAGAGAGCTCTCCCTCACACCTGGGCAGGGCTGGCCTGGCTGGCCGAGCCTGGGTCACTCGACGAACTCACTGGCGGGATCTGGGCAGCCTAGGCGCGCTCTCTGCTGCAGAGAAGGCGCCACCCTCCCCGCATTGCTAGAGGGTCGTCTCAGCTCCCTGGTCACAGGAAATCCCAGGCCCCAGATCCCATGCCCTCCCTTATGCGGCCTTGGGAGGAAAGCCCCGGGGGAGAGAGAGAAGGCGTCTCTCTCCACCTGATGGTTCTGCCAAAGGGTTCCGGGGCGGGGGAGGAAAGAGGAGGGAAAGGGAGAAAAAGGCATCTCAGAGCTGGGCTCCATGCTCCGCTCTCCAGTCCCCTGCCGCCTCCCCCGGGTGCCCATGCTTGCCATCTCTTTCCTCCTCCTCTCCATGTTCTCTTCTACCTTTTCATATTTTTCTTGTTCCGATTTCTCTCTCCCTCTCCTCTCTCCTCTTCTCTTCCCTCTCTTCTCTCCTCTCTCTTCTTCTCTCCCCTCTCCTCTTCTCTCCTCTATTCTTCTCTCTCCCTCTCCTC